ATAGTGGACAATGCAAAGAGGCATTACATCTGGATCAGGAAATAGAATTTGAAATGGTTATGGAAGAAAAGGTCACTTTGCAAGTTCCCCATGCATTGAGTGTGTGGGTGGAGTTCAAACTACAGCTTAAACTGGAACAGTGGTTTGACACTACTGAAATGGAAAATGTCTTCTGCTTTCTTTGCCTTCTGTCTCTTCTTTGTCCCACAGTCCCTGGCCCTACTCTGCTTCTTCATGCCTCCTTGCTCAGGCTTGAGTGCTCATCTCTTAATAGCCCACAGAGAGCTATAATTGAAAAGCTTTAACAGAAGGGCCCAGTGAATGGAGCAGAATTTTCCATTTGTAAGCAGCAATAGACAGAGGTAACTAGTTTGTAAGTGGCAGAGTGCAGGAGCTGCTCATCTGTGACTTGCAACTGCATCCTAAATATATGTAAGCACAGCATTCAGCAAAGCTTTTCTGTCGATGCATAACTTCTGTCTGGCTCTTCATTGTAATCCACCTATTTGTTGTTCTCAGAAGTTACACAACAAGTGTTCACTGCAAGGTCTGTGTTTAGAAGAAGAGTTTCTAAACAGTTCTTTTGAATGCACTAAAAGAGGTCTTGCACCTGAAATGAAATGAGAAAGCTTTTAATGAAGTATACATTTACTCTGCTCTAATATTGTTAATTTTAAGAGTAAATTGGTTGTTAAAGTATTTTAGATGCTGGATTTAGAACTATATTCTGCAGCTTTGAAATCCATCAATTTTTTTATGTGAAAGCAAGCTGGTAGTCACTTGGCAGGACTGAAGTTACTTGCGAGATTCACTAAGCTCAGCTAATCAAGTATGGTGGTGGTGGTACAAGCTCTTCAGAATATACGGGTCCAAAATAAAAGCACTGGGTGTGCATATATTCCCATGTCACCCTTGTTTAGTTCTTGCCTGTCTTATGAGATGGAACAAAAAATCAAAAATAACAGCAGATCTTTATGGCAGAATATTGAGTGGAAGCTGAAATTCTCAATGGCTTATGCTTCCCTGTTCTCTCTTTTTTAAATACCTAAAGAATGCTGACATGCTCCACCCTCTCATGTCACTCTAACCCCATTACTGCAGAAATTTATTTTTGAATTTCATTGCTTGCATTGGGAACCTTTCCCTACTTTTTCCAATGGGTCTGCCAGTTTTTGCTGTCTTTTGCAGTTGTGATTAGTGCTATCATTTGATCTAAGGGTTCATAGTCCTAGGTGGGCATTGTCTAAGTACTAGAATCCCAAGTCCTGGATCCTAGAGTATTGGATAATGAATAATAAGCTGAAGTATGGAGATAAAATTTATAAGTTTTTGGAGCAGTGTACTAATATAAAATCTCTACTGGTAATAGAAGAAGAATGAAAATGCTCTGAGATGTGTGACGACCTTTGCTTTATAAAATTAATCTAGATTTTATACGGATAAGAATAATTTAGAATGAGTCACAAGCAACTGATACATTGAAAGCAAACAGTAAGGGAAATTGGAAAAGTAGAGTTGGTAGCAAGATGTGTGACCTAACTGAATGCAGTTATAATGGAAGAAATGTAGACAGATGAAGTTTTTGGTTGAAGAACAGAAAAAACAAAGAATTGTACATAAGAGATACTAAGTGCAAAGAGGGGATGTTGTTCAAGAAGAGGGATGGCAGTTTTTAGTGTGGGGTGGAGAGATTTTAAAGTAAAATGAGATAAAAATCCTTACAATAGAATTAGGATTTCTTCAAGGAAATAAGGAATTTCCTTAAAATAGAAATAAGGATTAATAGGCTGGGCCTGTTTTGCATGGAGAAGACTGAGAGTGTAGTCTTAGTAATAATATATAAGTATCTGAAGGGAGGGTGCCAAGAAGATGGAGCCAAACTCTTCTTGGTAGTGCCAACCAGTACGACGAGAGGCAATGGGCAGAAACTGATGCACAGGAAGTTCCACCTGAAAATGAGGAAGAACTTCCTTAGTGTGCAGGTGACCATGCACTAGAACAGGTTTCCCAGAGAAGTTGTAGAGTCTCCCTCACTGGAGATATTCAAGAACTGTCTGAACACAATGCTGTGCAATCCTGGTCTAGGATGGCCCTGCTTGAGCAGGAGGTTGGACCAGATGACCCACTGTAGTCCCTTCGAAACTTATCCATTCTTTGATTCTGTGGAAATGAAATGGCAGTAGAGGGTTAAATATCAGCAGTGGTGGATTGAGGGCCGGTGATTAAGAAATGGTGACAGAAAAGAAATTCAATTACTTGTAAAGCAAGAAATGTTTAATAAAGATATGACTTGGCAAATTGTTATTTTGGAGAATATTAGATCCATTTAGGATTAAATGTGAATTAATCCAAGGTAAGACCCAAGAAACAAATGACAATGTGTCATCTGACGTGAAGATGGCAGACTTGAACAAGACATGGTGTAACTGTGTGTGGAGCCACTGAGTGTAGAGTTGAAAGGTGTTCCGTTACTCATTCATTATTATAATTTCCTTCATTTGTCACTGTCATTTCATTCAGAACTTCAAGAAAGTGAATGTAATTTCACATTTCACTCTTGCCTATTGCAGTAAAAATACTTGATTTGGAATACAAGCATCTGAAGCTTTTCATTTTATGTGTAAAGACAACTATACCAAAATAGAAATGTATAAGACAAATTCTCATTTTAATTTGATTTTACTGAGTTCAAAGGATCCACAACATTGACTTCGAGATTTGATGAAGATTTGCTGCTCTAGAAATTTACTCTGATATGCTTGTCCTCAGAAAGAGGTTGGCTATTACAGGTGAGGTGCAATACACTTCACTATTTAATTTCTGTGCTTTTTGAACAAAGACTACCAAGTGTCCAAAGAAAAGATTCATGTCTGATTTGCTACAGTCTCTTAAGAACACCAGTATACATCGCTAAATTTTCAGTCATGTATATATGCCATTTAGTTTTCAAGTTTTGGAGAAATCCAGATACTAAGGACAAGAAAGTTCCCCAGTTTTTTCTTGAAGAATGACTGCTCTTATGTTCGACTGAAGCTTTGAGATAGAATTTTTAAAAGGCTTGCAGTTGCATCTTTCTTTTGGCAATAGAAATTATTTTCAGCTATTCATGTTTCTTAGAGTATGCTGAAAGAGCTAAAGGTATTTAGACCAGTCATCTAGCTTACTATTTTAACATTTTGATCTTAGTGCAGCTTGCATTGTCAGTGACAGGAGATTACCTCATATACTAAGTTGAGTGTTTGTACTAGAGCTAGTAGTATTGCAAACTATATTAGACATCTGCTTCTCTCGTGGGTTTTTGGGTTTTTTTTGTTTGTTTTTTTTGATAATCAGTGTCTCTGAACTTCTTTATGTGAGGGAATTGATAGTGCTAGAAGTGGTAAAAGTACATTGAGAAAACTAAATCTTATGGCAGAATTCTGCTTTTCAGCCTTTGGCTACAGTGAAAATAAAAGAGATAAATCATTTATACTGTATTCAGTTGTGTTAAAAATCTGTTTTCTTCTATAGAAAGACTCTCTGTAGTAAGGCTTAATCTGGAAATATAGCTGTGACCACAGATGTGCCCTGTAAATAGGAGACCTTACCATGAGGAATGTGGTTGTCTGTAACTGTTATTTCAAAAATGCATGTTGATTGATATTGAAGCTAATTCAGAAAGAGGGCTTTCTTGAGTAAGATCTGACTTTTCACAACAGAAGGAAACTTAGGCTGTAGGTTTTTCCTTTCTGTCACTTAGAGTGAAATATTTTACTGCTCTGACTTGCTTATTCTGTTATGTGCATGCTGCACTCTAAGGCAGTTGCTGGGTGTTGGAATTGTTGATGAACTTTTAATGAATCATTCAGTGCTCTTGCTTTGTGCTGCTCTATGTTCCTATGATGTGAATGAAAGGGATTAAGAGTTACATACTCAGTACTTTTTCCCAAAAGCAAATTTCTTCCAGCATGTTCCCACTAGACCTGGTGTCTGCTACAGTGTAGTGTTAAGATATTAAAGAAATGAAAATATAACTGTTTTTCTGAGACACCGTTTGACAATCATACTCATTTTCAGGAACTCCTTTATTTTTCAGCCTGTATTTTTTTTTCTTCTGTTTATGTATGTTATATGTTATAAACTCTTAAGTTCTTAACATTTTTCTCTATCTTTAATGTGCACCACCTTCAAATATTCCACCTGATGGATATTTATCCACTCAGTATTTCTTGACCAAAGTAACTATGTAGTTATTTTATTCTCCTTTGTAAGTCATTCTTCAGTATCTTGATTATTTTGGGGTTTTGGTTGTTTGGTTGTTTTTTTCCTCCTCTGCATTCTATGTAATTTGTCAATATCTTTCTGGTACGGAGATGCCTAGGAGTGAATGCAGTATTGCAAATATGTAATTACCTCTCCTGTCATTATTCAGGGGGTATATTTATTATTGCAATGTATAGAAAATTCTTCTCTAAATTGTTCACTATACTTGTAGGCTTTTTTCATTATTATTGCATCATAGATTTCTATCTGCTGTTTTCAGATCTATGTTTCTAGCATGTATATTGCCAGATGCTGTTTCTTGTATTTCCATTTCCTAATTCTTTTATTTAATTCCACACACATTTGTGAACTCCTGAAAGCTTTCTCTTGCTCTGGCAGGTTATCAAGGTTACTTTGCTTCTTGAGTTTGTTGCCTGTATGACTCTTGGAAAATAATTTTTCTTTAATATGTATGATTTCTTTTTCCCCTCATATATTTAATAACTTCTGCTGCTGCCCTGGGGGATTGAGTTTTGAGATTTTCCAGCTTGTTTTTGTTAGCTTTCCTGGTTTTGAAAAACCCACTCCCATATCTCACTTATTTCATTAAGTGGTCCTCAACACGGAAGCAGCAGTTGCTGTGTGTGCTTGGATTCATCCATACATGTGTATATGTGTGGATGTGTGTATGCATATAACGACTCACATATAATGCATTTCCCAGCTCTTCTGTTTAAAACAATGCTATTTACCTGCAGGAGGACGAAGAAGAAACATATGAGCAAACTCTAGAATTCCGCAGAGGAGGTGATGGTCAGCCGAGACGGTCCACACGACCTACTCAACAATTTTATCAACCCCCCAGAGCTAGAAACTGATGAATAAGGAAAAAAAGGTAAATGTAAGATATTGGCATTTTCTTTATGTGTTTAGATTTCAAGAAAAGCAGGTCTGGATTTTCTCTACCTTTTTTTTTAGGGATATTGGTATATTTATTATAGAAGTAGGATATCTCTTTTCTCTGGATTTTATGGTTTACAAAGAGACTAAATATACCTGTAGGAAGAGGGAGGGCAATAAAAACATTTCAATAAATAGTTTTGCTTTATGTCAAGACTCATGGCAGCTCAGCAAGCTTTTGCCTGATACTTTTTCACCTGAGAGCAGCAGCAAGATTCTCTCATTCACATACGTTGGACCAGCTGCTTTAATGAAATAAGTGGCTGCAGTCCCTGCTCAACTCAGGACTGTCTATCTCTGTCCAAGATCCCATATTCTACTTTTTATGAGCCATTTTTGGGAATAAATGTCCTTTCTGTTGTTTTGCTTGCATGAGAAGGAGAATTTGCAATGCTAAAATATAAAATCTGTGAGTTCACTACTGAATGAGGAGGTACAAGGCCAAAGAATTTTTATCATACTCTGAATCTTGAGGATATACTTGCATCTATACTTTATTAATTACCAGAAATTAAGGGATTATATATCATCCTCAGAAAATATACCTGATACATACATTCAGAAATTTTAAAAGGCCAGCCAGATAAAGCAGTTACAATTACTTTACTAAATAAATCACGTAAACTATACTGCTTTCGTTTTACTTGTTGATTTTCTAAATCCTTAATTTGCAAAGGATTGTATCTTGAATAAAGACAGCTTTGATAAGCCACATGCTATTTGATGTACATCCACAATGTTTCTTTGTCTTGAATATGGCTATTTTTTTTTTTACTTTCTAGCCAGTTTATTTTTACTGATGTCTTTTTTATTCCTTTCCTTCCTACAGTCCTCCACATTCTATTGGTTTAACAGGTGTTGCTTATCTCTGCACCTTTTGATATTTCTGATGTGCAATAACATGATTCTTCTTTTTTGATTATATGCTCAAATACTTTTTTCATTTGGGGCAGTACTGGCAGTGTATGAGCATGCTTTATTTCTGGCTCTTGCCAAGGTGATATTTTTTCTATTTTTGCCTATATAATTTGATTTTCTATTTTAAGTAAGCGTATCATCAATATCAATAAACACGTCAGAGACAGTGTAAAACATGTGTAAGTATTCTTCTCAAGAATGCCAAGCCAGTGGAAGGATTAAAAAAAAAGGTTTATTTCAGATACAAGGACCTCTTCTTAATGATGCTGCACATGCTGGGCCCCCACAGGGAAAAGGCAATGCCCTGCTTTCTCCAAGGCTTTTTGTATCATCTCTCTCTCCTCCCCCACCCTCTCTGGCCTGATGAGGCCTTGTACATTTCTGCAAATGTGTTCACTCTCTGCATAGAAGGGAAAGAGATAGCTTGCTTACAGATTTTCACTGCAACTTTCTCTGAAATGCAGAAGGAAGGAAAACAAAAAACATCTAACCCATTTGAGAAGGCGTTTTACAGTCTTCCTAAGTGAAATTGATGTCTAGCTTTCCATCACAAATTCTTCTGAATTGTACCAATCCCTACAGATAGTTTGTGCAGAAATCATCTGAGTAGAGTTTTGATTGGCACAGTTGGCTCCAAGGAGTGTCAGTGTGATCAGTTGAATGAGACGTGTAGTGTACACAGCAGTCAAAATCAGGGAATTTTTTTACCTTTAGGTAATATTTTTGTTATTTCTCTAATTTTACAATATAAATCTGGAAAACTGTGCTTAGCTTTGGTCAGTTATGAGGGACCAAGGAGAATGATAGTAACTCCGGTATCTTAAGAAGAGTGAATGAATTGTTGGCAAGTAAGGAACGGTCTTTCTAAGGTACAGGTGGTTGTTCCTTGGAGGTGTTTTAAAGATTCTAATGGGATCTTGATTTAAATTGACAGCAGACATGGTATCAAAACCTACCTACTACAGAAAATAAACCATTGCAGCCTTTCCCTTCTACTGAGCTTCTTCAAAAACAAGTGGTTGATGTAATCAGTTCTTCCCTGATTTTAAATGTATGCAGAAAAGTCAAACACAGTCCTTTTCTAAATTGCTTTCAGTTTACCTGGACTTGTACAACAACAATGTAGCTTTAATGTCTTGACATGTAAAAGTTCAGGAATATTGAATGTCAGTTCTTAGAAGTGGGTTTCTCTATGGATTTTGCCTCCTTTTTATTCTTTAGAGCTTTTGAGAGCATGGCATATTGTTCTTATTCCAAGTTTTTGATAACCTGTTAAATGACGACAAGATTTATCAGGGGAAGTTTTAAGGGATCCAGTAAGACATAATTTTACCACAACTTTCCTCTGAGGAATACTTTACCTCTTCAATAGATCATTGATTAATGACACCTTTACTAACTGAAAGGGAGTATCTCTCTATTATATAAAGTAACTTAATGTCTTTTTCCTGAAGAGAGATGGAGAACTCGTGATGATTATTATTTTATATTATAAATTGATAAATTCGGTAGAATTTTAGTGTTGTAGTTCATCACATTTAAAATTCCAAGGTGTCTTGTTCTCAAAGGCAACTTAGACAATACTAAAACTGAAGTTTGCTGGCCATATTTTGTTGAGTATTTAGAGATGTATCAAAGGTGAAGCATAAGGTCCGTACAGTAGATGCATCACTTTATACCCAAAATCTCTTAAGTCTACCTATGTAATCTTACCTCACTTGACAGGAAGGATTTATTAGCAGTGGTGCAGCAGTGAAGTGATGAAGCTGTACTGCCTCCTGGATTATTGTTCAGCACACTCATCCGGATGTTGAATTTGCACATGCGAGTCTTGAATTAGTATTACCAAATAATCAGTTAAAAAAACAGCAGTGTAATGGGGTTTTAAGTGTGAGAAAGTTTAAGTTTTTAAAATTCTGAGATTTTTTTAGAAGTGGAGTTTGGATCCATGTGGCTGTTCTGTCTGGGGAAGAGAAATCTGCAGAGGGCCCTTAATGTGGCATTTTGGTACTTAAAAGGGGGCTTATAAAAAAGATTGAGGCAGAGACTTTGTAGTAGGGCCTTTTGTGATAGGATATTGGTGGTGGTTTTAAACTAAAAGAGGGTAAATTCAAACTAGATTCAAGGCAGAAAATTGTTTTGATGAGAATGGTGAAACAGTGGAATAGGTTCCCCAGAGAGCTAGTGGATGCTCCATCCTTGGAAACATTCAAAGTCAGGCTGGAAGGCGCTCTGAGCAACCCGGTATAGTTAAAGATGTCCATGGTCATTACAGGGAGGTTGGACTAGATGACTTTTAGAGGTCCCTTCCAACCCAAACTATTCTATGATTCTAACCTTCTGAAGAGGTGTTTGCCACAATGTTACAGGCTTTGGGTATTAAGAACAATTGCTGCAAACTTGCAGGAGGTCTTGACCTGGTAATTTTTGTGACGACAGAGAATGCGAGTAGACATGTTAAGGTGAAATAACAGAAGTATGGGGTAGTCGGTATCTCACTGTGGTTACAGTTGACCTATAAATTATCCTTTTGTGAGTGGAGATAAACTATCCTTAGTGTGAGGTGGAGAATGCTAACTCAGAATTTTATCAGAGGGAATTTTGTGCGGGTGTGAGTCAAATACTAGCTTTAACAGGTCTGTAAAATAAGGTATTCCTCCTAGAGAGTCAAGATATAAGAATTAAAATCTAACAATAATAAAAATACATCCTGAGGTTATACTTTCTGTATAGAATGTCATGATAGTCTGAAAATGAAGAGGAATAAGTAATCAGAAATGAATGTTTTGAAGGATTGTGGCTTTTGGAGGAGCTTGAAAGAACCTATGAGTGGGGACCTGTGAGTGCTTGGTCATTATATGTTTCTTGGGTCTTCCTTTGCTCCTTGACAGAATTACTTTACACCTTGTCACACTTGCTATAAAATCTGTATTGAAGTCCTTAACAATGGAGAAACTGTGTTTTTGTGAGGGAGAAGTCATTACCAGAAAGTGTTCTTTGTACTAGACCAGTGATATTTTATTGCACTGAAGTGCAGCCTTCTGATTTATTCTTTTAGAGACTTCTGTCTCTAAGTACAGAAAAGCATATATCCAGTCTTTTGGAAGAAGAAAATGAAGTAACAGTAAAATGTGTGTTGCACAAAGAGCCCAGGGATGGGGGGGGGGGTGGTTTCTTGAATGCCATTATTTTTTTATCCTTATCTTATGTATTTTATCTTTTTCATTTAGAAACTTTCTCGGAGTCGGGGGAAATTCACCGGCAGTTCCCAACTTGCTGAAGACTTCTAGAAGAAATTCTGGCTTTTTTCCAGGCAGCAGGATGGAACAAAGAAAGCTCGTGTGAGCAGAATGAATTTGGACCTGACACCACAAGAGACTTTTTTAAAGTTCTTAGTTAAATGAAGCTGAATACTTTTTACACGTGAAAGAGGCAAATTGTCATTGCTGCCATCAATAAAACCACGGTGCACTATTCTATTCTTTGCCTTGTATTCTTTTTACTGAGCCTCCATTGTTAGTTAACATAATAATGTATCATGATTTTTATTAATTTTGAACTGGTTTTGGTTCTAATATTGCTTCTAGTAAAGTAAAATTAAAACTTATATTTTCTCAAAAGATGACAGGATTGGGCATTTAATTTAGATTTTTGGCTAGCATTAGTAAACATTTTAAAAATGTTTTGGCTAATTATTGTACAGTAAAATTCTGAATAGGTTTTGACTGGGTTTTCTGTGGTTTTTTTTTTCCAAAGTTGCTGAAGGCCAAATTACAGATTTGCCTATTATGTTTTTCATGTGACCAGAGGGTCAAAGGGGAGAAAAGAAAAAAACATCAGTTTCAATAGTCTTTTTCTAAATAATTTTAGGTAAGCATTTTATTTTTAGGAATATTTATATTACAGAAATAGAAACATTTCTAAGAGGTACAGAAAAATCATTTAAACAAAAAATGCCTAAAGATGCACGACCATGTTAAGCATAACTGTGTATACATGCACACATATGCAATAGTAGGTACTTTCTTGCAGCTTTAAACTCTGCTTTTATTGCTTCATATTACTAGAATTTTTCTGTTGTCATTGATGCTTGAAAGAATCTTATGTCAAGCTACTTTTCATTCTAAGCTGTATCTTTGAATCTTATGTGATTATGACAAATAGTTGAAATTTCACTATATCTGAGAAGCACTCAAAATCTATGTAACATGCAAATCCCTTCTAAGCTTTATTCTGATCACTTGATTAAGACTGAAATAGCACTTGTGTTTTGAGGTAGTTTTGTAAAGATAGAATTATACTTGAGAGATGTATTGATGGTATAAGTTGTACAATTAATTCTACTGAATTTCTCTCTGAGTGCTCACACAAAACTCTGTTTGAATAGAACTTTGCTTATTTGGATGATATGAACTTTTATATTGAGGATGTAATTGAATGTACCTGCAGTACAGAATTTGGATTTCTGTCTGAATGCAGTCACATCTTAACCCATCAAGTAAATGTTTTCAGAATAGTAAGAAACCAAATGTTTTGCTGCCTTAATGCTTATCAAGCAGCTTCTTTATAATTATGATGCAACTCACCAATTATTCTAAAGAATTTTGGAAGTTAAAACATGAGCTATACAACATTGAAGTTCTTCACTTTTAACTGACACACAACAAATTTTATGAAGTCTGTTAGATTTAAGTTAGGAACCACTTTCCAAATACTATGAATCATCCTGATCGGTTCTGCTAAATTGTACCAGCAAATAAATAAACTCTAGATCTAATACGTTGGATGTTGGATGCTTTACTTCCAGTATTATTGCTAAGACCAGTGACAGCAACTATTCAGCTTCATAAAAAAATGCAACATTGTTTTAAAAACCAGTTTTGATTTTTCTTTGCAAATGGGATGTGCATTAAACAAGGTCTTACAGGTTTTCAGAATTTTGTATTAAAATCTGATTGAAGTCATGTTTCTATTTAAAATTCTCTTTTGGTCTAACATCTGATACATATCCATATGTATATATATATTTTAACATAGCTTTTTCTTTTGTCAGTAACAGGTACGTTTTTTGTCTTTGGCGACAACTGTCGCCAGGATCACTTGTCAAGGATCACTTTGAGGATCGCTTGTCAAGGTCACTCTCCAAGAGACATGGCTGGAATTGTCTCTGCAAAATCTCTCTGTAATGACTTGAGCCTTATGGAAATTGAACTTTTTGGGGATATGGCATTTCAAGACAGTATTAATAGCACTTGTTTTCCTTGGATGTCAAAATGTTGATATCACAGGAAGGACAAATCTTATCTGTGAGATGTACTTGGCATTAAATATATAAAGATTGAGCTTGAGGTAAATCTGAAGACACATTTGCAAGAGAACTCCCAAACGACTAAGCTAGCTAAAGAATCCTGCAGTGTAGGGTGTACTGTCCCTTTCTAGCATTATGGTTGGAGGGAATTTGATACAGAAAAGTCACCAGTGCTTTTATGCATAAGCAAGAGCACATAGCTTGGAATGATTCTCTGTAGATGCTTTTTTGAAGAAGGATCCTAGTGCAACTGTCCTTTCATCACATCACTTAATCTAACCCCAGTAAAATACTGTAACTTTCTTGAGAGCTATGTAAGCTTGAAGAATGGCTAATTGCACAGTTAGGCTCAGTTTAGCTTTTTGTTTGCTATACAATTATTGGGGTATATTCTTGGGTTTTTTCCCCTTATTTTTTGTTTGTTTTTGTTTATTTGTGTGTGTGTGTGTGGTTTTTTTCTTTCTGAAACGCTTTAGAGCAACTTATTGCAGGAGAGTAGCAATTATCTAAACTTTGGAAGGTACTCCAAACATATAGGCACTGACCCTCTCATAGAATAATATGCGTGTGAAAAGCTTTGTGTAACAGTGGCATCCTTCAAAGCAATGGTAAAGACTCATAATTACTCTTATTTTTCAGTATTTACTTTATGTAATTTGCTTATATTGGCTTGTTTTACCTTTAAACTGCAATTCTGTTTTGAGAATGTTTCAAAGTATTTTAAAAGCTAAAGATAGAAATTACATCAATACTTAATTTTCCTTCAAAATTGAGAGGCCATAAAAGTCAGTTTCCATGCAAACACATGGCTGTTGATGGACATAATTATATTCTGCAAATTGCAGTGGTATGAGTGAAACCATAATCTAGTGTATATTAAAAATAAATCTTACATATGCTCAAATAAACAGGAACTGTGAGAGGGCAAATAATTAAGTGTATAATAGCAACACAAAGCACTATAGATGGTCTAAACAAACTTCTGCAGCTGCTTCTAAGGGAAATGTTTGTAGTCATTTTATAGTGCCTTGTCATTTTTCCTGCAGCTTATCTATTTTTATCCTATGCATAGGTAAGTGTTGTGCAGAAGATAATAATGCAATTTTCAGGCAGCTTAGTTTGTCCTAAGTTCTTGAATGCTTTGCTTTGCTTTTGTACCATGCATTTCTAAACTGCAAAAGTTAAAGAACATAAATAGTATTTTATATTTGTTTATAGTTGAAATAGTCTTAACCCCAGGTATATTTAGTTAGTCATTAGATAATGGCTATCCCTCTGCTAAAACAGCTGTAATCTAACTTGACTGTGCACAGATTTAAGTCTCAGCCTAACTCTACTTGTGCTGAATATTCTTCTGTAGCTTTTTATTACAGGAACTTACTTTCTTTACAATACTGATAAAATGGAAAAGCAGAATAAATAGGGAATGCTTGTCATTTTGACATGCTACAAATGAAACAGTGTTTTTTGTACTGGGGGACTAGAATAGCATATACAAAGTTGATGTTCCATGTGCTATTTGAATGTAAAATAGCTTCCTTCAAAATAGATATTTTTTAAGTTTTTACCCCACTGCTAATTAAAAAATATTTGAACCCAGTGTGATTCATGGGATAAGACAGATGATCTGCTTTGACATTTCACTGCTCTTGCCATATCAGTCTTATGATCAAATGCTCCCAATAATAGATATCCTTGATGGCCAGGTACTAAATGTAGTTTTTACTCCAATTTATTGGATCAAAATGTATAACAAAACTTGATTAAACGTTGTACACAGCAAAGATGAGATATGTCATGCTGACTTCAATCACAAGCAGAAGCTACAGCTAAGTTTCCATGTACTACAGCTGCAGAAATGATAATAGAATTTAGTTGTGCTGCTCCATTTTATTTAACTGTTTAAACTTTGAACTCTCATTTTCAAAAGGAAATAAAAGAAATTCTTACTGCTGTACATAAACCATTGAAAATGTGACTGAGTTTCAAATGAGAAGCTGATGCCTATTGCATCTTCAGAAAGAAACAGAAAGTTAAAATTGTTGTGAAATGCAAAACCTTACCATGTACATCAGCTGAGAACATTTATGTTCTATGGATATGGAATCTGGCTTTTTTTTTCCAAAATGTTGAAGATCTGACTAATTCTGATACAGAATAGTTGTATTTGAAAACAATTTATCCCAGCATTTCATTCAGTCTCGGTACCCTGTGAGGATGGTACAGAGGCTTTCATGTCTCTGGCACTCTCTCACAGCACTTTACAAGAAGCCAGGCAACAATTGGGAGTATCAGATGAATGTTGATAGAGAGGTTAAGATACTGATACTGGTTTATGAGTACCTCCAAACTTAATTTGAGAAGCTGTACTCTATACCTGAAAGATATGAAAGAAGCTGTGACACTCTGGTTAAATAGTTGTTGAAGGTGAATGCTGTGTCATTAATGTGTTGCAAAGTGCAGTTGTGCGTACTGGAACAAGGACAAGACAGGTGAAAAAAATACCTGTGTAAATGATGATATGGTAATAATTTTTCCAAATAAAGTATGCCATCCTGCAAAGTACTCAGCATCCTGAAATGCTGATACTAATGGGTAGAATGCACAGTATTTATAGGAAATACCTCAAATTTAAGATGCTTTAAATGTCATCCATATCAGCACCATTTGTTTGACTTGACTATTTTGCACTAATATGATTAGCTTGATGCAGATGTTAAGAAGGCATATGACACTGTTTGCCTGAGGGGTAGGTGAGATGCTGTTATTTTCCAGTAAGCCAATATAACTAGTCTGCCACTGGATTATTTGTTTTCTCTTTTCATTGGTGGTTAGAAGTAACAGTGGCTATGAGTTATTGTTCCCATGATATGTTTGGAGGCCACTCTTTTAGTAAGAGCAGACCATATAGGCTCCTATGGAGGATTTGTGGGTCATATGCTAAAGCCCAGCCAATCTGTATAACTGAATTTATATCCTCGTCTGACCGAAATATTGAAGTGTCCTCCTGTAATTTTTGTACCTCCTACAGTGGAGAAAACATTAATGAATGATGAGTCACACTGTTTCTTTGTTTCGTACAGTCAGGCTTGTTTGGGCAACAAGTGCCCATGGAGTCATCCACGTGTCTCTCAAGAAAATGTGTGTCTGAATTGTTTGGCCCACAATGTT